TTCGAGCTTCAATTCGTTTCCAGAGCCAGACGTAACTCATGTAAAGGCTGCTCGTTTCAATCAATGGCAACAATTGGTCCACATGCAGCAAAGCTTCTGGAGGAAATGGAGCACAGAGTATTTGTCCTCGTTGCAAGAGAGGAGCAAGTGGAAATCTGGACAAGCCAACAAAAGAAAGGGTGACGTCGTATTGCTGAAAGATGAAAATCTGCCACCCTTTAAGTGGAATATGGGACGCCTCGAAGAGATTATATCTGGCCAGGATGGCATCATCAGAGTTGCTATGGCTCGAACCACAGCGGGTCTTGTCAAGAGGGTCGTTGCCAAACTAGCTGTTCTGCGCTTAGAAACTGAGTTGGTTGAAAGCGGATATTTTCCAACATGAGGAGGATGTTCATAGCAGAACCAAAGCTAAATTGCTTAAATGTAAATACCAATGGCTAATGTTTGATTTGCCATAAATATGTAAATTTTAAATTATGCGAAAGAAGCCCACAGTTCTTTAAGCTTTTACATGCCAGAGATTTCGAGCCTCTCTCGTTATCTTGTTTATCTATTATCTTTGTAAGCCGAGCACTGCTTAGAATAGCTGTCGACTGTTGCATATACGTTTTTGTCTTTAGTGCAGCTCCGATCCTGATTAATTTTGTGGGTTTTTATACCCGTTACTCGTAGAGTAAAAGGGTATACTAGATTTGTCGGAAAGTATGTAACAGGCAGAAGGAAGCGTTTCCGACCCCATAAAGTATATATATTCTTGATCAGGATCACTAGCCGAGTCGATCTAGCCATGTCCGTCTGTCCGTCTGTCTGTCCGGATGAACGCTGAGATCTCGGAAACTATGAGAGCTAGGCTATTGAGATTTGGCGTACAGATTCCTGAGCTTCTTACGCAGCGCAAGTTTGTTTCAGTAGACTGCCACGCCCACTCTAACGCCCACAAACCGCCCAAAACTAGAACTCCAACAGTTTTGATGCTAGATAAAAAATTTTAACTGAAATGTATTGTTCTCATCAATACCTATCGATTGACCTAAAAAAAGTTTGCCACGCCCACTTAAACGCCCACAAACCGCGAAAACCTGTGACGCCCACAATTTGCGTGCTACATAAAAAATTTTAACTGAAATGTATTGGTGTCGTCAATACCTATCGATTTATCCAAAAATAAATTTGCCACGCCCACTCTAACGCCCATAACGCTTAAATCTGTCTACCGCCGGTAGGTGGCGCATTTTAATCTCGCTTTGCTGCTTGCATATCTCCATTTAGCTGAGTAACGGGTATCTGATAGTCGAGGTACTCGACTATAGCGTTCTTCCTTGTTAATAATATATCGACATAAAGGTTGGCAAATTACAATTAACAATTTGTCTGGAAATAAAATATAAAAATGGTTTTGTTTTTTAAACTAACCATTTATAATAATTGTGTCTCTACGTTGAGGACCAAACAAAATTGTTTTTAAGGAACATATGGAAAAGAAAGAGTCACTTTAATTTAAAGGAAAGAAAGGAAGTTAACTTCGGCAAGCCGAAGTTTGTATACCCTTGCAGTTATAGGATATAAGCAATGTCAGTAACACCATGTTATATTTTTAAGGATTGTTGCTAGCTTTAGGGATATTTGTGTTCAAAATCAACAAAGCAAAATTTTTTTAAAAATAATTATTTCATTGTTTCTCCGACCTTTTCTTTGACAGGTATATGTTAGAGTCGTCCGATCTTTACTAAATTTAATTCGAAATTCCTAAAAATACAAGAAATGATATTCCCAATAGTACATGATAATATGTCAAAAAACACCGAAGCTATGATTTTTTTCATATTATTTTCCCACCAATTTTCCGATCGTTTCTATGGCAGCTATGTGACATAGTCGTCCGATATTGATAATATTTAATTTGAAATTCAGAACTAATTTAAAAATGTTATTTCCAAGCGTAGAACGTTATATGTTTAAAAAAACACAAAGATATAATTTTTGGAAATTTTTTTTCAGGTTATTCCTTTAGGAGCAATAAGATATAGTTGTTCGATCCGGCTGGCTTCGACTTATATTCTCCCTGCAAAAGAAAGAAAGTGTGAAAGTTTCAGCCCGATAGCTTTAAAACTGAGAGACTAGTTTGTGTAGAAACGGACGGACAGACGGTCATGTCTGTCTGTCTGTCTGTCTGTCTGTCTGTCTGTCTGTCTGTCTGTCTGTCTGTCTGTCCGTCTGTCTGCCTGTCTTACTGCCCGTCTGTCTGCCTGGCTGTCTCGCAGTCTGTCTGTCTGTCTGTCTTTCTGCCTGTCTGCCTGTCCTACTGTCTGTCTGTCTGAGTGCTCCTATCACTTTAACGCCTACGAACCCCCATGTCACCAAAATCTGTTTGCTTTATTCCAACTATCTAGCTTTTTAGTTTCCAAGATCTCCGGCAGAATAACGGTGTTTGGAGGGGTAAGCCATCAAAATGATCAAGTTTTCATATAAGCCATATCTTACTAAGCCCCTTATGCGCTCTTTCGAGATATCAATACCAGAAAGAGCAAGAAGAGAGGACTGGTGCTAGAGCCAAGATGACAGCACATAGAATCTGAAACGGAAGAATTCCTTCGTCCACATACGTAAATTAGTTTAATAAGTTATTGGGCGTTTGTGTAATTTTGATTCCTATTTGAACATCAATTGCACTGTTTTGACCCCTATATATAAAATCCCTTTTTGGTAGTTATCACTGTGGACGGCAGTCCTTTAGTTCGGACGGTAGTTAACTAAAAGGATTGCATACCAAGATTACAAAAAATCTATTGGTTTGGGAAAAAGAGCGGTGAAAGTGTAAAAAAGTAAATTTATTGTATTTGTATTCTCACTTAAAATACACGTCGAATGAAACCTTAAATGTCTAAATCGGATGCTCCGTTCAAAAGTAATACTCAAAACAATATTTTGGGGGACCGCTCAAAATGAAAATTTTATTTTGCTTGTCAGTTTTTCCCAAAGCGAAACTTTAGAGTCTTGAAAATTCTAGATGATGTTAAACACCTCAGTATTAGAAACATTAGTTCTACCACTTTTGAAAAAACTAGCTAGATAGAAAAGATCTAAAAATAGCTAAGTTTCGTACACCCGTAACTTGTGAACTACTAAAGCTACGCGCTTGTGCTACATGTCGTTAGAAAGATATTTTGAAATACTTTGTACGCATTTTTAACATAATCAGTCCAAATATCACAGTTTTAAAACTATGGACCAAAGTTTTTTTTTTCGATTTTTTTACCTTTTTTTCTGATTCCTGAAAAACGGCTCTAACGATTTTAAAATAAATTTTAAAGTATATAGCCCATGAAATTCCTCAACTTTTGACACAGGACACATTGTTGTAAAAATCTCGTGTCAAAGTTATTAATCAAAGAAAATGGTCACATTTACGAGCTTAGAACATCTTACACTGCCTTTTTGTGCGTATTCAAACTCTATTTGAAGGTTTTGGAAACTTAAGATGATGTTAATAGAAGAAACTTTACTTCTACCACTTTTGAAAAAATTAAAGATACAGGCTTGTGCTATGTTGCTAGAAAGGTATTTTGAAATGCATTGTACGCTTTTCTAACATGATTTATCTAAATACCACCGTTTGAAAATTATGGGCCAACGTTTTTTATAAATGCAGATTTTTTTCTTATTCCTCAAAAACAGCTCTAGCGATTTCAAATTAAATTTTAAGGTGTATAGCCCTCGAGATTCCTCAACTTTTGACATGCGTCTCGTTACAAAGTAAATAATCAACAAAAATGGCCATTGACCTTTTTTGTGCGTACCAAACTCTATTTAAAAGTCCTGTAATTTTAAGACGATGTTAAACAGCCTACTACAAGAAGCCTTAGTTTTACCACTTTTGGAAAATCTCGTGAGTTTAATAAATAGCTATATTTAGTAGACCCGTAACTTGTGCTATATATCGTAAAAAGGAATTTCCAAATACTTTGTACGCCTTTCGAAACGACTTTTATTCCTTCTCTGCGTTAAAAACTTCTTACGTAAACTAAGTTTGCAGTCTTTTCAAACATCCGTTTACACTGTGAAAAAATCTTTAAGTGTGCGCTCCACAGAATTGGATGCGATCAACCTTAACAGCGGAATTTAAAAAAATTCGTCCGATATCGATAAAATTTAATTCAAAATTCAAAACTAATTAAAAAATGTTATTTCCAAGTTTAGGAGGTTATATGCTAAAAAACACCAAAGATATCATTTTTTTAAATTTTTTTGTCCGAATATTCCTATGGGAGCTATAAGATATAGTTGTCCGATCCGACTGGTTCCGACTTATATACTACCTGCAAAAGATATAAGACTTTTGGGAAAGTTTCAGCCCGATAGCTTTAAAACTGAGAGAATAGTTTGCGTAAAAACGGACGGACAGACGGACAAACGGACAGACGGACATGGCTAGATCGACTCGTCTAGTCATGCTGATCAAGAATATATATACTTTATGGGGTCGGAAACGTCTCCTTCACTTCTGACTGAATTCAAGGGTATAAAAATGACTTCTGATCATGGTATTAAGAAACCCTAATATGAGAACTAACATGGCTGTGGACAGCAGTCCTCTTTGTGACGAGCGCCCACTGCATCACTGCTGTGATGCTCCGATCATAACTAGTGGTACAACAATAAAAAGATATTGCAAAACCTAAAAGGATTGCATACAATGACTCTACATTTTAATTCGTTTGGGAAAATGATTGGTGAAATTGTAAAAGTACAAATTAAGAAAATTGAAGCTGTATTAAGATGAATTATGTAATTGATGTTTAAAACAAAAACTTCTGATGTCACACAAAAACACCTCTTAACGAGGTGAAAATCTAGTGACGATCGCACCTTCAGCCAACAAAAGTTCTGATATCAACTGTTGTGACGAAAAATACGATATCAGAAAGGTTCTTGACTGAAGGTGCGATCGTCACTAGATTTTTACCTCGTAAAGAGGTGTTTTTGTTTGATCTATTATTTGTTAAGTAAATTAAAATTAAATTTGTATTCCTTACCTCTCGAGTGACAATAAATCCAGCAGTCAACGGAGAAATAAAGGACGCAGACATATGAATTGTTTGGCAAAATGCCAAAACGGCAGCAGAATGTCCAAAATTTGGTGCTAGGTCAATTATATTGGCCATTGCCCCTGCATATGATGCAGTTATAAAAATCACCGCCATAAACCAAACTGGTAACAAAATGTGTACACTATCTATATAACCGATACAATATATTAAGATTCCTGGAATAATTTGTGATAGAGCTGTAAATAATTTTCTTACATTAGTAAGATTTAAAATTTTATGTAATATCAATTTATCAGCAATATAACAAAAAAAAACCGATGAAATATATGAGCAAATAAATGGCATTCCAGATATAAAGCCATTTGTTTCAAAATTAAACTTTAAAACATTCCCCATAAAAGTGGGTCCATTAACAATAAAAATATAATGAACAAATATTCTGCCAAATGTTGTTATAGCAATTGCCCACGCAGGTAAGGAACTAAATATTTGCAGCCATGGAACTTTGACCTTAGTGGCGTTGTTTATCTCTTTACTAACGTTGAGTTCTATATAATGAAGTTCTTCTTCAGCAATACGAGGGTGCTCCTGGGGTGTATTGAAGGCAAGAAAATACCATAATGTACACCATCCAATCCCTAGAGTACCTGTTGTATAAAAAACATATGGCCAACCATATTCTGATAAAATAAATCCACACAATGGGTAAGTTAAGCCAATTCCAATGCTAAAACCTTGAAAACTTGACATGAAACGGGAACGCTCCGTAAGTGGTATCCAGTAGCCAACTATTGCATACATGGCAGGCCACGTCAAGCCAGAGGCAAATCCCTGAAGAGATCTTAACACAATAACAGCTATGTAATGTATTCGAGCTGCTAACGGCATTAGAATACTACATAGAGCTGTTGCTAGCTGTGACCATCCGAATACGCACTTCGTCCCAAATAATTCTGTGGCAACCCCTCCTACTACTTGAGATAGCACGTAGCACCAATAGAATGAACTAATTATAACCGATTTCACAATACTTATTTGATCTTCATTGCCACTACTCTGAAACGAAATAATTAAGGTTGTTATATCAAATATGTTGTATATACGGCAGTGCCACAGAAATCGCTTAGCGCTTAAAAACTGATACATGTTACACGAATTCAGCGATAAGCAACTTCTGTGGTACCCCTGATATATTACCAAAATTGTTTGCGATCCGTTAAAAGATTGGTTTTGCGTTGAATTCCGATTTGAAATCATAGCTACCAAAGCGAAATTCATATCGTTGCGCATCATAAAAGAGACCAGAAAACCAGACCAAGAAAGAAAATAAAGCACTAATCGAGCCGGAATTTTGTCTGAAATTAAATGAATAATAGGATTAAAACATGTTTTAAAGTTTTTTTTTATATATTTTACCCTTTCCGAGGGCAGTATTATCAATCAGACGTGTGCAACGCAGTAACATATTGTAAAGGGGCGCTTGTGCCTACTCTATTAACTGTCCACTTATTTTAGTGCAATGCATCACTTCCGATAGCTATCGTAAAACTACTTGAATGGCATACCAGCTAACGGCTGCCAAATATTGCAAAGGGGACCGAAAGAAGAACCAGTTTGCGGTATAAAAGGCCTTATCAACGTAGTTGTATTTTTTTTCTGGTGATAACTACAGTACGGCCAGAACTCGGCAGCTCAACTTAAAATATTGTCTAACTCAATTTTGTGTGCCAATTTCAGATAACAAAACTCTTAAAATCTGACCCGCTTCAAGGCCATTATATTTCTGTTTTACAACATATTGGGAAGCTTGTTCAAGTGCTTCAGAAACCCTAATCAACCGGTTCTGCCTTCACAAAGGTTGAGAGCGGAAAAATAACAAAATCAATCAAATAAACACCTCAATGTTTTTGTCTATGCACAGAAATTATTTAGGTTACACACCGAGTGGTAAAACACCAAAAAGATGTCCACCTCCAAAAAACTCAAATGGGCTTATTGTAAAAAATAGTTATGTCATAAACTCCACAGAATCGATGCAAACGTTTAGTTTCTTCACATTTCGATCCATACTCGAGCTTATAATAAAAGAAAAGCCGGTTACACTCTACCGATGCAATTATCGATGTGATTATTAATATTATTTCTCAACCGTTACGCACTCGTTAGAATGGCCTTTAATTATGAGAACATTTGATTATGAAGTTAAAATAATACTTGGATAAGCAATACCACATTTTTGTAGCTTTGTAGACTTGCATTAATGAAGGAATATTCCGATTTGTCCTCTAAATTTGTTATGGGTAACATTAAATCATTGAACTAATTATTGAAAATTACCTAATTTCTTAGAATTTTAGAACCTCTAACCTTTCCGACTGATCTCTGCTTTTATTTTTTTTAAAGCTTCATCGATGATCAAGGTTGGGTTGGCGTATTCGCAGCGATGTGATACTATGTAGATAGTCAGTTGTCAACAAAAACCAACCGTCCGAACTATTCTTTTGTCCCTTATACTTCCCAATAACTGTGTACGCAAAATAATTTAAAAAATCCTAATGCTGCGTGACTACCGGCTTTGCTTCGCAGGGTCAGAATGCATCCAGTGGAGTTGCCCATCCCGAGTTCCCTCGTCGCGCTTCAAGCCTCTCTCTCTTAGAGCGGTGAGGTCCTTGGTCTTGCCTAGAATTCCTTCCCTGTCGCGGTCGAATCGTGGGCAAGTTTAAATTGTGTACTCAGCGATTTCCTTAACGCCACAACTTGGTAAGGTAGCTTCTGAAGGATCCATGTCCGCTCAAGATCTGCGTCAACCAGAAGTTTACCTCTCCTTTCGATCCTTGCATCCATTTTTTGATGTCAGGTATGACTCCGTAGGTCCATCGCCCTTTTGTCGATTGCTACCAGTGAGCCAGCCACGTTGCTATAGATTTCATTTCACGTCTCTGTGAGGAAGTGCACCGCCTTCCTAACTTCTCGGCTTCTTCGTGGATCTCCTTAGCCTCAACTGCCAGCTTAGAATTCCTTCCCTGTCGCGGTCGAATTGTGGGCAAGTATAAATTGTGTACTCCGCGGTTTCCTTAACGTCACGTTGTGGGCAGCTGCGATCGTCGCGGGGCTAAACTTGGTAAGGTAGCTCATGAAGGATCCATGTCCGCTTAAGATCTGCGTCAACCAGAAGATTTTATGTTCCATCATGCCTTTATTCGTGTCGTATAGAAGGATGCGATTGCTAAAGAAAGGCTTTATAATGCCCACCAAGGTCAATTTGCTGGAGTGCTTCCATTTCTGCAACAATTTTTGCTGCCCTCCCGCAATCTCGTTTCTTCTATTACTTTCGGCTCATTGACCTCCACTGTGGAGATTGCATCAGTTGTTGATATCGCCTTCCTAAAGCTGAACTGCATAGGTGTCAGGTACCCGGCTTGAACCCCAAGGGTCCTGCTGGGCTGAGTAACGTAGTTCCAGGAAATATTTTCTCTTTGCTTTTTAAAAGCCTTTTGAATATCCAGCGATTCCTAGCGTACTTTTGTCGCTTGAGCTTAAGAATTTGGCGCCCTCTCGCCCTTTTCTGCAGCCTTCTGGCACGCAGGCACTCACCGCGCGCATTCGCGATGTCTGCTGTCCACCAGTAGACTAGTTCTATGTTGCTTCAGGGGCTTCAGGTTTCCTCATGCTGGTTCTTTATGCCGTCACCATGGCGTCCATAAGCCTCGTCGCGACGTTCTCCGCGTTCAGGATGAACCGATCGCCAAGATCACTGCAGACTTCGTCGCATCCAGTACATAGTCCGGCCCGGGGGTCTACAACGTCGGCTTGGATTTCGAGCACGGTCTGGATTTGTGATCATGCGCGGTTTCACAGTGGTTGATGTTGATCTGTATGATCTTTACTTCTCTAACGCTTTTTTAATCATGGGACATCCCTTGCTGCCTGCTATGTGCTTCACATCTGACTTCCCAGCTCTAAAGCATAAAAAGCTTTTTCCTGCTTTGGAGCAGCTTGCTACCTTGTGCCAGAGCTGCCCGCATTTGAGGCAGCATTGGCTGCAATCTACTTCGCTTTTCCACCTGGCCGCTATATGCCCGAACTCCAGGCACTTGTAGTACCGCCGTTCGGCCGCCCATTCTCGAACTGGGGGCTTTTGGTGCCTAAACTTTTTGACCTGCTTCTCATGGATTTTTGGGCTCATAGAATCCCTGGCCCTTCTTGGCGTTTCACTTTCGCCGCGCCTGCAGGCTGCCTCTTCCCAAAAGCCCTACAACTTCGACTACTTACCGGAGGCCAAGAAATTTTCTTCCGGCGCTCGAAGCACCTATATACGTTCCCCAGAGATTTTTTTTTGAGAAAGGCTCTTTGCGGTTGGATTGGGTGGTCCTTTGTTTTTACCTCTACTGCCATACTGCTGTATTTAAAACCAATTAGTTTTGGCGGGCCGGTCTTAGAAGCAGTGTATGCGATGTCAGAAGTTCGGGGCTGCGACTCCAAAAAGTGCTAATGCAGGTGTATCCGAGATGGCAGAACTGGCCGACTGGCAGCACTGGCGCAATGGCAGCCTTGTCCTCGATCAGATGGGCTCTTCCTGGAGTTTTCCAACCCTTATCAGCTGGTGTACTGCGATCTTTTACAGATCCCCTGAGCAGCAAAGAGGAGCCAGGAGTAAGGAAACAAGGCGCATTTTCACGCAGGGACCTCTGCGGCTGTAAATTGGCTTATCTCACCCTATGCTGGTAGCGTAAGTAGTCATTTTGGCAAAACTTGCTTTTCCGCAGCACATAGCGGAGTGCTCATCCCAGCGTTAAGTAGCGATACTACCCACAAAACCTTTTCCACCCACAGCTTCATAGTTCACATCTCTTTGAATAATTTTACGGATGGTTTGATTGTTTGAATGTAGATCAAGAAAGGAATTTCAATTTCCGCTATAACAAAATCTTCAAAAATGTGTTAGCACCCATTCCATAAGATAAACATAAATATCCGCTTTTAGACAAAGATGTTGCCCAGCATTAGTAACATAAAGCAGGAAGAAAAGTGAACAAGAGTAGAAGGCAAAATTCATCTCGTCCAACAAATTTACTATTTTGACATTTGGACAAAAACTTAAAAAAAATATTTATACAGTCAAACCTAAGCTAATACTAAGCTAAAATATTAAAAGCTGGGCTCTGAATTTGTGTAACTAATAGAGAGTACCTCGACTATCAGATACCCTTTACTCAGCTAAAGGGACAAGAGGGAAATAAAGATATGCAAGCAGCAAAGCGAGATTGAAATGCGCCACCTACCACCCGCGATCCCACTATATGGTTATGTGGGCGGTACACAGACTTAAGCGTTATGGGCGTTAGAGTGGGCGTGGCAAACTTTTTTTGGGTCAATTGATAGGTACCCTTCAGTTCCAAAAAAAAAAGTTTCACTTGTGAATCACCTGGGAATCACCTGGGACATGTCCTCGTGCACAAGTGAAGAACAAGTGACGCTCCATATAAAAAATTGTATGGGATGTCCGCATTTTCACAAGTGAAAATTTAAATGAAAATTTTTCGAAGTCCTACGGGATTTCACTTGTTCCTTATACTCACCCTTCAGTTCCAAAAAAAAAGTTTCACTTGTGAATCACCTTGGGAATCACCTGGGACATGTCCTCGTGCACAAGTGAAGAACAAGTGACGCTCCATATAGAAAATTGTATGGGATGTCCGCATTTTCACAAGTGAAAATTCAAATGAAAATTTTTCGAAGTCCTACGGGGTTTCACTTGTTCCTTATACTCATTTTTCGTATGGCCTGTCACGTGCCGGTGACACGTCCCAAGTGAATCACTTGGGAAAATCAGAATTTTTCCTTGAGTTTTCACTTTTGAAATCACTTGCAAGGGACACGTCCCAAGTGAATAACTTGGGAAAATCAGAATTTTTCCTTGAGTTTTCACTTGTGAAATCACTTGCAAGGGACACGTCCCAAGTGAATCACTTGGGAAAATCAGAATTTTTCCTTGAGTTTTCAATTATAAAAATATAGAATTTAAAATACATACATATTTAATTTCATTTTAATTCATTTTAATTATATTTTCAAAAGTTGTACAATTATTGTTTGTGTTTTTTTGCTTCGTAAGCTTATTTTAAACGTTAGTCATCGCCGTTCTTAAACCTTTGTCCGGGTCCTCTGAATCCTTGGCCAACGCTCCTGAAAAAACATATGTTTAAAAAATGCGTTTTATTTGTTTAATTGTATATTTACCTTTTATAGCTGTGTTTAACCCTTTGCAGGATTTTTATTGGATCAAAACATTTCGTCATCCACTTTCGGCTAACGGAACCCATTGAATACCTTCAAAATTTACGTACTTTAAACTAAGATCAATGCACAACATCTAAAACTTAACGTAGCACTTACCTGATTTTATTATATTAACTTAAAGAGACGACTAAAGTAACTCTGCTGCGCACAATTAACATGGATGCTTCCCTTTCAATCACTCAAACAGAATGCACCAAGTCTTCTCACCCCTTTACTTGATTTCATTTGTTTTCTCTTCGCTGTTGGCGCGTGCCACTTTACTTATACCCTTTCTAAGGCGAAATATATCCGACTATATAATTTAACTATACAAATCAACTACGACCGCTGAAGAGAGTGGACGTGTCTTGTGCGAGCTCCGCGAAAAGTGCAAGAAAGTTGATAAATTAATGCAAACAAAACACAAAAACTAAACAGGTTAATTTCAAATAAGCGAAAAGACGCTAAAACCCAAAGAAATTTAGGTTTCAACCCACAAAATCGGTGTAATGTCTTAAACTAGCACATAATTATTTTATCTTATAATAATAAATAAGTGCCACGCTAATAAAGCTCAATGAGCTACGAACAGAATAAAGAGCGACTCAGCTCCGCGAGCCGAAGAGACGGTTACTTTTCGTATGTCTCAACGCGTGATAGCGAAGTGCAAAAAACGACCCTACTGTCGGTCGATAGCCAAAGAGCACGATCTTGCTCACCATGCTTACTTACGGCTACCCCTACTCCGACGGCGTGGAGTCAACAATGCAAAACCCCCCACCATCAGTTTCGACCCCTGGCGCACCAACAACATGCAACGGCAAAACTTCTGCATCCGCACTAAATTTGTCAGCAACAACTACGGCTACGGCAAAAAAACCAACGACAACCACAGCTACGACTATTATTTCGGAATCGACTGCAACCGCAGCTCTAAATACAACGGCAACAAAAACAACGACAACAAATCAAAACCAAAACAAAATTCAGCAAGCGGGTCCGGCCATACAGACCGGACTAGATCGGTACATCCATATCAAGCGTAAGCTTAGCCCGCAGAACACCGCGGTAGGTAATAAGTCAAAAATAAACCGTGTCCAAGTAGAAGATATATTACCCGGGAGATCCGACAGCAATCGATTTGCGCTTCTAGCAGAAAATGAATCAGTACGGGCTCAGGAGACCCAACCGAAACCTAAGCCCCCACCAATTTACATTAGGGAGAAAATCTCGAACGCCCTGGTCAACAAAATTGTTGCGCTGACCGGAGACAGAAACTTTCATGTTGTTCCGGTCACAAAAGGGGATATCCATGAAACCAAGCTTCAGACCAAATCTGAAGAACATTTCCGAGCAGTATCCAAATACCTGGAGGAAGCTAAGAAAAGCTACTACACGTACCAACTAAAAAGCAGCAAGGGCCTGCAAGTGGTAATAAAAGGAATCGAGCCCGACGTAACCGCCAAGGAAGTTATCGATGCTCTTAAGGAAAAGGGGTTTTCTGCAAAGAACGTCAGTAACATTATAAACAGGAACAAGGAGCCGCAACCACTCTTCAGGGTCGAGCTGGAGCCAGACAGCAGAGTCTTGAAGAAAAATGAAGTGCACCCCATTTATAACCTGCAATACTTATTGCACCGAAGAATTAACGTGGAAGAGCCACATAAAAGGAACGGCCCAGTGCAATGCACAAATTGTCAGGAGTATGGACACACCAGGGCATACTGTTCGCTTCGAACAGTCTGTGTAGCTTGTGGAGACTTCCACAATTCGGCTAACTGCCCTGCCAACAAAGAAGACCCCAAAAAGAAAAAATGCGTTAACTGCCAAGGTAACCACACGGCAAACTACAGGGGCTGTCCGGTCTACAAGGAGATGAAGGACCGCATGCGAAAAGTGATAGCAACGCGTCATCAGAAAACCCAAAATGCGTACACTTACTCGCGTACGACGCCGGAAGTATTTTTCGGCACGGCTGCAAGATCCTCCTTTGGTCAACTAAATACCCAGACAGGATTCTCATACGCCGATGCCCTTCGATCGGGGACGGAAAACCCACTCCAGTCTAATCTAGGAAACGCTCAGCAGATCCAAGAACAGTCGCAAAGCACTCTGGAAACTATGATGGTCACCATGCAACAAAGTATGATGGAACTCATGTCATTCATGAAAACGACCATGCAAACACTGGTTCAAAACCAGAACATGGTGTTACAGCTACTTGCAGCTAAGCAGTCCAAATAATCAGATGGCAAACCTACGAATAACAATGTGGAACGCCAATGGCGTTTCACGGCACAACCTTGAAGTAACACAGTTCCTGAATGAAAATCATATCGACATTATGCTACTGGTAGAGACGCACCTCACAAACAAATACAACTTCCAAATAAGAGGCTACACTTTCTACCGCACAGACCATCCAGATGGTAAAGCCCACGGCGGAACCGGCATCCTAATCAGGGAACGCATCAAGCACCACTTTCACCAAAGGTTTTCAACTAATTACCTGCAAGCCACGTCTATCAAAGTGCAGTCAGGCAACGGAAACCTCACCATAGCCGCTGTCTACTGCCCGCCTCGATTTACAATTTCTGAAGGACAATTCATGGACTTCTACAACTTGCTTGGAGACCGCTTTATAGCTGCAGGGGACTATAATGCCAAACACACGCACTGGGGATCACGACTTGTGACTCCCAAAGGAAGGCAATTATACAATGCAATCATAAAACCGAACAACAAATTAGACTATGTTTCCCCTGGCAGCCCCACATACTGGCCAACAGACCCCAGGAAAGTTCCAGACCTAATAGACTTTGCGGTGACAAAAAACATTCCCCGCAATATAATAAGCGCCAAAGCGCTTTCGGACCTGTCGTCAGACCATTCGCCAGTGCTAATAACTCTTCTTCAAAGCACAAGAACCACAGATCACCCCCTCAGGCTGACGTCGCACAGAACCAACTGGTTAAAATATAAAAAGTATGTAAGCTCACACATCAAATTAACACCTCACTTCAACATCGAAGCGGACATCGACTGCTCTACCGATGCTCTTGAAGAAGTATTCGTGGAGGCAGCCACTATCTCAACACCACAAGGCAGGGACGCGCAAACCAACCACTTCAAAACTAATCTGCAAATTGAACGGTTAGTCCTAGAAAAGAGGCGCCTGCGACGTGCCTGGCAAGCCAACAGATCGCCGTCATCAAAACAACGTCTTAAGGAAGCCACTCGCTCACTAAATCGAGCTCTAAAGCAAGATACAGAAAATGCACAGCTGCAGTACATTACAAAACTATCGCCAACCAGTACAAAACATCCTCTGTGGAGGGCTCACCCAAATCTGAGCTCTCCAATCGAAACAGTGACTCCGATAAGAAACTCATCTGGCATCTGGGCCCGCAGCGACGAAGATAGAGCCGAAACTTTTGCGTTACATCTAAGAAACGTCTTCCA